TAGATAGGGACAGATTGAAAAAGATAGATAGATATATAGATAGATAGATATATAGATAGATAGATAGATAGATAGATAGATACTAACAGAGTGAGAGACGCGAAAATAGATAGTTAGAGAGAGTGGGAGTGAAAGGGAGATAGATACTAACATTGTGGGAGATGCAGATTGAGATAGATAGATAGATAGATAGATAGATAGATAGGGACAGATTGAAAAAAGATAGATAGATAGATAGATAGATAGATAGATAGATAGATAGATAGATAGATAGATAGTTAGTTTTTGTGAGTATATGCGGCGTACTTAAAAGAAAATTTATAATATTAAACGAGAAAATGATTTTTGTACATACTTAAAGCAATTAACATATATCTCTCAGAAAAAAATATTTTTTTCGACTCTCTCCCGTTCGTTTAAAAAAAAAAACTAAAACTTGCTTGTAAACTAACCCTGCCCCAAATCTGCTGTTAACCTGTGCGTTTTTGTGTGTGTGTGTTTGTGTGTGTGCCGCGCGTTTACGCCTGTTTCGTTCTCCCGATAGAGAAACAAACGTATCTTAGGATTTCTTATTTCTATATATGTAGACTTCTTATAATATATATATATATATATATATATATATATATATATATATATATATATATATATATATATATATATATATATATATATATATATATATATAAAAATTTGGAAGGTGGATAGATATATGACAAACACTAAGCATCGCTTTAAAAACTTAAAGCAAAAATCCTTTTTTGAACAGAATCTCGGTAACGCCGGGACGGTTTCGAATCTGCATGAAGCTAGAATTTCGTTTTAAATGATAATAATATGAAAGAGACATGCGTAAAGTCGACATTAAAAAAAAATGAATAAAAGGGACTAAAACGTAAATCAAAGCAAAACAGTACAGGAAAGTAAGTTGACAGAAACAAAAATCATTACTATATATATATATATATATACAGACACACACGCACACATATATATGTGTGTGTGTATTACTCATCGAAATTTATTGATATTTGTAATTTATAAATAACTTCTTTGAAAAATAAATAAAAAATCTAAAAATAAAAATGTAAAAAAATGTGGCACATGAGGACATCAATAATTCCAGTTGTAGTTGGAGCACTCGGATTGATTTGAAAATGTTTCGATAGACTCATTGAAGGGATTCCCTGTAACCCAAGCCTTAAGGGAATATAAAAAAAAAGTACTCACAAGCACAGCTCACGCATTACAAAGGGTTTTATCTATGCAAAATGTGTGTGATCCTAGTTTATTTTTAGTTTTTTTCTTCTACGAAAATGCTCAGTGGAAAATGCCATGAAGCCATTTCTGACCTTAGGTCTCTGGTTGGGACCCGGAAAGAAATAATAATAATAATAATAATAATAATAATAATAATAATAATAATAATAATAATAATAATAATGGTGATGAGGGTGATGATAAGGGCAATGAAATATGTCCAAACTCTTCTTTGATTTGTCCATTCGAGCAATCTATAACGGTAAGGACTCTTGTTGAGGCTCGTAGGAGCACCTTATGTACTGCATCCGTGGCAGCAGTGATGTGTCTTGGACAAGATAGCCTGACGGAGCCGAACTCTCTCCAGGCTGGAATTAGAGTTCCTTCTTGATTATTTATCCATAGCTGTGGGGTCTTGGGGGGGAGACATGAATTTCATTATTTTCATACATTTCCCAAAAGTATTTACGCGTAAGTGAATGGAACGTACTTGACTGGTATTCGAACTCGGATCTCCAAGTTCTCATTCCGAGCCATTTATCCATTTTTTTTTTTTTACACCACCGCGCATTAGATACACAGACAGAAAAGCAGTCTCATTGTGACAAAGTGATTTTTTTTTCTACCGGCAAAAAAAACTTTTTATTTTTATTTTTCTCTATTTTAAGGTCTTTAAAAAATGGTAATTCTTGTGTTTCCTTATTGTGTACTTCTCTCTTTGGATTTTCCTTATTATTTATTTGCTTATTTTATTCTCCAAAAATTAGAAGAAAAAAATAATAATAATATTGTCAAAACGCCATATTTTAAACTGTAATACTCGTTATTAAAGCAATTATTTTACCCTCATGGAAATGGTATCGTATATTTATTTGTCTCCACTGTAACTCACATTATCGGCACGGTTTCAGATTTTTAGTTCTTTGTTATTTTTTCAAAATAATACATAACAACACCAAATTCATTCTTGATTTTATTGTAAAATGTAAACTTCTTATGGTAATATTGATAAAACAGCTGTAACTCTTAAAAAATTACAAGTGTTCTTTTTTATAGCAATGATAAAACATAAAATTGATAAGACGCTAACATTGTTTGCTATTCAAAGAAAAGTTTACTTGCAATTTAAACATATCTTGATACGTGAGGAACTCCAAAAATTGGCGGTAGAAATAGTAGTAGTAGTAGTAGTAGTAGTAGTTAAATAGTGGTAGTAAATAAAATAGAAGCAAATGATTTAAAAATATTTTTACCTTTAAAATAAATAATTATTAAAAACAAGATAGGTAATTCTTTAATTATTGAAAATATTAATTAATTGCGTTGTTGGTAGTGTTCTTTATTATTATTATTATTATTATTATTATTATTATTATTATTTATTTATTTATTTTTTTATTTTTTTATTTAACACAGAATTAAAATATGAAAAAACAACTTCATTTGTGACAATAAAAAGAAGTCATTAAAAAATAAAAATATACAATTTTTTAAAACTTTTTAATTATTATTAAAAGTATTTTTTGGGAATAATTATAAATTTTTTTTAACAGACAAAAATTGTTATAGCTGGAATATTTACTTCCAAATTAAAAGTAATAAAAATAATAGATATTTAAAAAAAAATACTGTACACAAATTGTGGCAGTGACTCGAACCAGAGACCAAAGAAAGAAAAAAAAGGAAATTTAATTTCTTCCTTAAATTACATAGGCACTGAAACACTATCTATCATATATATATATATATATATATATATATATATATATATATATATATATATATATATATATATATATATATATATATATATATATATATATATGTGTGTGTGGAGGAGGATTTAAAACAAGACTTAAAAAGAAATCAATTAAATTATCTATTAAATTAAAGAAGAAATGCTCTTTAAAAAGAAAGAAAAATGAAAGAAAATGAGAGAGAAATGAACATATACAAAATACGTGTTACAATTGCTTTCTGTGAAATAGGGAGAAAATAATTTCCCCCAAAAAAGGAAGGAAGAAATGAATGGACAAGTCTGGAATAAAATAAAAATCTGAAATATATATATATATATATATATAGCAACTAAAGGGAGGTACATTTACTTTTACTACTTGTACAATATAATATTACTAGAAGTGATATTATTCGTTTTTCTAGTATTATTATTGCCGCAATAGTTAGCCTCCTCTGCCCACAACCCCGACAGGTACTCCCACCACCTGCTTCGTGCACTGCCTCCAACCATCTCTTTGATTAAGTACTCCCACCTCTAACTACCAAGAGAGTGTACAAGGAGGAAGGAGGCCCGAGATTAGACAAGGGAAAAAAGCCTTTCTATTTGATTTTCATTTTTCTTCTACTTCTCTACTTTTTTTTTTCTTATAATTCTTCAGCCTCTACACACACCACAGTAGTTGTGGCTATTGCATCTCGGTTACTTTTTTTTTTTTTAAGAAGAAGAAAAAAAAAACCCAAGTTTATTGTCGCTGCAGTAGTGGCTTCTGTGAAAAAGGAAGAAAGATATATATATATATATATATATTAATATTATTATTACTACTAATACTACTACCATCATCATCAATATTATAACACCACATCTAGAGAGAATGAATTCTATATACAAACATACTCGGGATCTTGTTCTTACATATGTGTGAATTTGAACCCATACGAAAATACAGTATGTATACCCCACAAGAGACACAGTAATATAGCCTTCATAACACTGTGTGTGTGTGTGAGTGTATGTGTGCTAGACACACACACAAAAAAGGAATCAGTATAAATATATATATCTATATATATATATATAATATAATTATAATATATATATATACACTCAAACACACACACACATATATACCCACACTTATACAAACATACATTCTCTATGTATTCATCTTCTGCACGCACCTGCTCGTACACAAACAATTTTATATACACACAACCTTGGAGTATACACATTTATTCTTATATGTATATCAAGCAGTAAATGTTTACCATCGTGGAAGAGTCCTCTCAAGCTGTTGGTCTTTGCTTGCAGTTAATTTAAAACCACCAAAGATCACATTTTGAAATATATATGTATATATTTATGTATGTGCAACAAAAAGGAAAAAAAAGAAAATATACAAAGTAGATATCTGCATAAAAAGAAACAAAAACAAAGCAAAACACATGCATATAAAAGTGAAAAAAATATCTATTCATCATCATATAACATATCTTATACAAAAATACCTAAATAGATTTTGACGGTGTTACTGTTACCCATAGTAAACAATGGCAAATTCATGTGGATTATTTTAAAGTCGAAATTTTGACAAGAAATCCCGGCAGTGACGGCGAAAAAACGAAAATCGACGACAGATCTGCATCTATTTCCCTATATATTGGTGTTTTTTTAGAGGATTTTATACCGATCAACTGGAATACCTTTTTTTTCTCTCCTTCTAAAGACAACTATTAAATTTAAGGAAAACGAAGAAAAAAATAAAAGAAGAAAAAAAAACACAACAATTTACCCAAACCTGGATTACCATTAAACAAAACAAAACAAAAAGGGGTGGAAAAATATATTACAGAAGGAAAAAGAAAAAAAAAGAAAAGAAAAAGTTCCTCGTCCCCTCAAGTTATGGGTAAAAATGCTTTTTAAATCTACGACATGACTTTCATTTCTGTAAACCGCGCAAAAATTCTCCTTCGTGCGTTGCAACCATCAGCAATTGACAAGAACGAGGAAAAAAGTTCTGCCTCTTGTCTATTTATAAATATATATAATCATAGATATATAGCAACAAATATATATCTATAATCAAACAAACGACAAAAAAAAAATATTGTCTTATACACACACAAAAAAAAGTGGAAAAAGCCATATGTATATTTATATAAATTTAAATTAAACATCACACACCCAGCATATATAATATATATATCTCAAATATATATATGTCTATGATACCGATAATATTTATCTTATATATGTAATATAAACAGTTTTATATATACATATATATTAAATATACACGTGCGTTGGTATCATCACCATCATCATCGTCATAGGCGATTGCATATAATTTCTACTTATTAATTGGAATAATGAAACATATTCTACAATGGATTTTCACCACCCGAAAAGGATTACAACAATGGAACAGATGATCCCAAATGTCTTGTATCTTGAAAACGGTGGCATTTTAATTAATCTTTTTTTAAATATATATAAAGGTGGGGAAAAATAATTTCCCCTTGACCCAGCCTACTCCCCCGCCACAAAATAGATAAAAATAAGTAATAATAAGTAAAAAAAAAAAAAAAAACACATTGTTTACTGTTAAACAATAATTCCCTTAGCAAATATTAAAATTTCTAATATCTATCCACCCTGGATAAAAGCTAAGAAATTTATATGTATATTTTTATTTATAGTTTTAAAAATTAATTTTTAAAATTTCTTTTTCTGATGTATATTTTTCAAGTAAAATAGATATTTTTTATGCTTTTTCTCATTTTTTATAGATACTTTTTAAATGTAAGTTTATATATTTTAATTACGAATTTAACTTCTTTGCTAGCATCACTTTAGATTATCATATATATAGGATTTAATTTTAAGAAATTATTATTTTAATTTTATCTCTACCGAATGAATGCAAATGTTATATTAATTATTTAAATTAAAAATAACATTTATTTTTTAAAAGAAAAAAAGGCGGTAAAATATAATGAAAATAATATAGAATTATTTTAAGTTGGTTATGCACGATTGCTGTAATTTTTTTTCCTTTTTTTAATTAAATTTAATTAATAATATTTTAAAAGATATTGTTAAAAGGCCGAGAATTGTTGTCTAAGAATTAAATACAAACACTGTTTTGTTGGTTCGTCTGAGTGTGTGTAGGACGTGGCACGCCGTCTGCAGTCAAGCCTCATAAGCAGTACTACTACCACTCCTGCTACCACTTTACAAAGATCACCTCCTACTACTACTCCTATTCGTAGAAGTAGTAGTAGTAGTGGTGGTAATAGACGGTGCGCGTGGTGCCCCCCCTCCAAAAAAAAAAAAAATATATACTTTCCACAACCATGCATATATAGGCCTATAAACTGGTATATATTTATATATCCACAGATATATAGACGTATATATATATTTTATACACTGCTGTAGTCCAGGGTTTTATTTTTTTTTATTTATTTATTATTTTTAATTTTAATTCTTAGGGTATTTCCCCCCCGACATTTCTTTCCTCTACACTTGAAAAAAAATATCGCACCTTGCTTATTTTACCGGTTAGCGCCTTTCTGGACCTTTTATTTTTATTATTATTTTAAAACTTCCCACCCGACTTCTGTTGTGCATATATATAGATAGATTATATATCTATAGATATATGCATGTATGTTTCGTTTTTTTATCTATCCATCCATCTGTCATCTGTTAAATCTTGTCAGAGAGGTGACTACGTTAGTGACTAAGTCAGTCATTCTTTATTAAGGAAGTTGATATACCATATTTCTTCAAAACTTAAAAAAATCGCTAATCAGATCCCCTAATAATTTTGTTATTTATATTGACAATTCCCCCCTTTTTTTTAAAAAAATAATAAATAAAATAACAACCCTAGACTTAAACTGGCACTTCCCCTCCAACTCTAAAATTCCAAATCCATTTATTTATTGCCAGTAATAATCACATCTTAAGTTTCGTAACAATTATAAACACTATTTCAAAAACTCCATTATTATTTAAATAAAATAATAATAATAATAATAATAATAACGGCATTGTCACCTTTTTAAAAAGGAAAAAAAAAAAGAAACCTTGTCGCTAATATAAATGTAATATTATTATTATATCTGTTAATATTAATAATAATAATAACAATAATACTGTTAGTGCAAACCCCTTTCCCACCCGTTCAATCACTCAAGTAATTGTAGTAATACCATTACTGCCACAATCACCCACATCATTACCGCTAACTACACCATGGATGACGGCCAGAGACTGATGCACCCCCAGCAGGCCGGGGGTGGTCCCGTGAGTATGTCCGGGGCCATGCCCCCCCAGCACGGCTACCTACCCCCACCCGGAGCCGGGGGTGGAGGAGGAGGCGGCGGGGGAGGGGGCGGTGATGAACAGGAACAACGAAAACAGGAAATTAGCGATATTTTACAACAAATTATGACCATCACAGACCAAAGCTTGGACGAGGCACAAGCAAGGTTAGTAACAGTTGAATTTGATTGACCGATCCCCCACCGTCCCTTCCTACCCTGGTATGGTATGGTGGTGTACACGACCACCAGAAAATAGGAGAAAAAAAAATGTTTTTATTTTTAATAATTTTATTTATTTGTTTTATTTATTTATTTTTTATTACATTTTTTTTTGAATGGTGAGTACTGAATAGTCAGTAACTTCGTGTACTTGTAAAATTTTTGATTTTTTTTTTTTTTTTACAGGAAAGGTTATTATTTCTTACACAACATAACAGTAAACTTTATTAACCTCAAACTTACATAAATTTCTAAATTTGCAAAAACAAATTAAGTTTCCTGGATTCTTTCATGGATCGACTTTTTTTTATTTTATTTGTTTATTTTTTTTACTAATATTCCCTCGAGAGCCACTTAAGGTAGGGTGTTACTGAAGGAGGTGTGTGGTATAGACGTAAGCGGAAAAAGCAGCAAGTAAAAACTGAGCTAATAGGTAGCGATTGACCCTCGACTTGAAGTGGTTAAGACTAGTTTTAAGGGAAGCATTCACGCGGGAGTCTCTTCGGCAAAGTAACAGTTCTTGGGAGGAACCTGTCTGAGTGGAAGTTCCTTCTGACAAAATGGAATGAGGGTGATTCGGCCCAAATAATTGGTCTATAAAGAAATAAATACGAAACATCAATTCTATAAGTAAGAATTGTTACTTTTCTTTTTTTTTTTTTTTATTCTCAAATTACCCTAACTCTCAGATAATGAAAACTTGAAACAGAATTTAAACTACAGAAAAATGGAACGATTCAAAGAATACATATGAAACCTCCTGACGAGTGGACTGAACTATCACAAAAAAGGTTCGTCTACGAAACTCTGGAGTCGAGGTGCTAAATCTCTAACCTCAATCAACTAAATGATAAATTTTATTTGTATTAAACCGACAATAGTATTGCATCCGTAAAATAGGTATTTAAGAATGTCACTAATTATTTATTTTACACACCAAGTAGTCACTGGTCACTTTTCAGAGATGAAAAAACAAACAGCTCTTTTGGTCACTCGTGGTTGAAAAAAAACACTTAATTGAACTCTGGAGATCTACATCTCTATACAGTACCTCCCCATTGCATTAAAAACCGTCTAAGGTTAGTCAAACCTTGCAATGGTCGATTGGAGGGACAAGTCAATTTCTGAATGACCCTCCATATTAAAATGCGACCTTGGGTCGTGTGTCGCATCGGGTGGGTAGTATTACTTACTATTACCCACATTAAAAACTGGCCATTGCTTTGTTGTTTTAATAATGGCTTTTGGAGGCAAAATTAACTTTCATGTTCACTTTCAGGAAGCCATTTCTTCTATCAAAGACAGGCAGCATTTTCTCATTACACCAATAAATAAATAAATAAATAAAGAGGGTCGGGTCAAAGTCAGTACTGATGTATCTTCTTATTCTTCTTAGGGAACTGGTCAATATCTGGCACTACCCGCGTTGTGACAAACCTACCGTGGGGGAGGGGTATGTAAATCTTATCGCTTCATGTCGGTGACCAGTCAATCTGTTATTAGTAGACATATTGCTTTAGCTTTCATTTCTTTTTAAAATAATGTATTTATTTGATTTCATTTCAAAGAAAAGTCTTTTAGAACGGACAATAAAATTCCCCACTTCGTCTCGCCACCTTCGCTTGGCACCAGGAAATGTTTATTGTAAAGAGTTTTTTTTTTTTTTTTTTTTAATTGCGATTTAAAAAAATATATTTAGTTTTTTTTTACATATTAATAAGGATTTTCAGTCAATGATTAAAAGATACAATTAAAAAAGGTATAAGTTTGTGAATTTACCGTTTTTTGGTGATAATTTACTAAAATGTCAGTGTTTTTGTTTGTAATAAGTCACTTTCAATTCAATTCAATTTAAATTAAAAGAAAGTAATTTCGAGCAAATTTAGCCGCTTCAATAATGTAAGAAACTTTTTTTCCTTTTATTTTATTTATCCTTTCAAGAAATAGTCATTTTATTATCTTCAATATGAGATATTTTCAAGATATTTTACACTTACAAGTCTAAAACTGCCGGCTTATGAGCCAATAAATTCCACGAACTCCAGTTGTGAGAAAGAATGGATACTACTGTACCGCAATGGCCTTTAGTGTGTATGTGTATATATATATATATATATATATATATATATATATATATATATATATATTATAAAAGTTTGGTCTACAATTGATTGATGGATGTATAGCTGGTATTAAAGACTTTCTTCGCGGTGAACTTCTATTTTAACAACGTCTATAACCTAATTTCAGTTTACATGCTCCAGCCCGACCTTAACCCTTATTTCACTCACGCGCATGTGTAAGCAAGGTTTATTTTTTTGTTTCTTTCTTTGCGAGTTGCCAGTATTAAGAGGACAAAAATTATATCCATCTATAACTTCACATGTTGAGCCATGTGATGCATAAGATTGAGTAAAAAGAAAAAAAGATTTTTTTTTCTTTAAAGGAATGTTGAAACGGACCTGATTCTAAAAGCATGCTGGCTAAACATTTAAAAACAGTCACTAGGTTGGGGGTCCATATTTTTTGTTTGCAATAATTGTTGTTGAATTTGAAATAACAAGGTGACTTCCTAAATAAAATTAAGACATTTATGTCTAAAAGAAAAGAGGCACATTGCTAGCTTAGATATAAAATCACTCTAGACAAAAATTCCCATTAATAAATGTCTTGATTTATTTTTAAAAAATGTCTAAAAAAATAAATATCTTCTCTACTCATAGCGTTCAACAACAATTACAAACCCAAATTTTGGACTCCCTTTTTTGGGTAGATCCTTTTCTGTTTTAGTATGTTTATTTTTTAAATAGATTCGGCTCGTTTCAGTACATAAATATATCGATGAGGCTCTGATATAAAGGCCAAAACAAATTAGTCTGACGGAAAACGCGCTTGTGCGCGCGCACACACTCACCAGAAGCTAACAAAACAAGGATACTTTTTGTAATAGTAATCAACAGTTAAGTATTTATAACTTATCTGGTACCTAAACCCCCAATACACCCACTATCGAAAAAAATAAATTAAAATCATTAAAAAATAAATAAAAAACCCGAAAAAACAGAGCAGAGTAAATCTAGTTTAAGCGCAAAAGACCTTTTCTTGTAGACCCGCTATAAAACCAAAATACACCGTCAATAACTAACACGCTTATTTCTCTATAGAGTGTATCCATAACAAAAATGGCTAGTTCGATAAGAATTGTCATCCCAGGAATATCAATAGCACCACAGATGTTATCGATACCGGGGTCGTTTTAGAGAGATAAATAAAAGGAATTAGAAAAAAAAAAACTGTTTCCTCTTCTTGCAATCAAATCTTTCAAAACTGAACATGGCTACTTTTATATCAACTTCACAGTGCCAAAATAATTTCAATGACCAGAATTGTAGCCCTTGCTGTTTAGTTTGGCTTTCAACATAAACTCTAGCTTTTAGTTTGTACCTTGACCTCAATTTCCAAAACAACCAACAAGAAATACACCTTTTTGAGCTTTCCAATATTCAAGTACAAAAAAATGTCAAAAGTTAATATTTACTAAGCTTTAGCCAGTTGAATTCATTTAAATTCCTTTACAAATACCCTTGGGAAAGGTAGGAATCCCTCGCCTCTTTCCCCCAGCTATAGGTTAAATAATGACTTATCAGGAAAAATCATTATCTCCCACCAAAAAAAAAAAAAATTAATACAATATTAACTTGCAAAAAAAACCAACTTGTATTATTCTTACAATGCAAAATGTTTCAGATTTAAACAACCCACAAAGGGTTGATAAGCCGTAAAAAAATAAATCATACTAGCCCAAGGCTACAAGTATTAGTCACCTAGTGTGGACCAAACTTGTGTTGCAGTTATAGTCTCTGAAATCAATTTAACATAACCTCATAAAAAAACAGAGAACCCAGTGTGGGTCAAATTCTCTAAGTAGTACAAGTTTGTTATGCTTGCTTGTTAACCATAACTCCATGTAGAGGCGGTTTAAGCTTAATATGGCACATGGCTAGGTGTTGAAATACCCCCCAGTGAGGAGCAAACTCCCTATGCCCAGAAAATGTCAGTAAGCAAACACTAAATAAAGACTTATTTTTCACAGTCACCCAGGCTAAAGTCTGGTCAGCTAAAAATCCTGTGTTTCGTTGTTTTGTTTTTATATATATATATATATATATATATATATAGTGTTCAATTGCAGATTTAAACTGACGATCAGTAGCTTGCAAGACTAGTTCTCTAACCATTGCTGGACCTCAGGGATGAGATTTATCCGTACACAGAACAAATTTGAGACAAGGTCGAGTTTTAGGTGGTTTTTACAGAAAAAAAAAATGATCAAGCCTCCTTTGCACTTTCCCTTTTGGGGAAAGCCTCAGGCGCCTGATAATGACCCTAGCCCCCTCTTGATACTGCCTGGGAGGATTATACCCCCGATTGGGGGAAGTTGACTTGAGCTAAATTAATTTGAAAACTTCCTAGCATATATAGAAAAGGCCAATAACTGGTTCTGTTAACTAGTTGCATTATTACTGTCACTATCAATAAACGCATATTATCACAATCAACCGAACAGATTTTTATCGCTATTACCATGACTCTGTTCTTTCTCAGGTTGACTATCATATCAATGGATTTTGTCACCATCTTCTTAGCATTGATTTTATTGTCGTTACCCATGTGGCTACGATTTTTGTTCTTCTAACCAACTTTGTTTCAACTTCCTAGATCCAGATAATTTTTTGACAGTAACTCAAACACACGTTTTAAAAGATTATAACAACAACAAAAAAAAAACCAATACATCTTTATTCAATCATATTGAAATACCCGTTTTCAAAATATTTTAAACCAGAAATAACATTAAAAAAACAAACTAGATCAATTGAAAAATAAATTTAATTGACAGTCGGATACGAAAAGAAACATTCTCGTGTCTTGGTCAGGGATTGAAT